TTTTTTTGTTTGGATTTTTTTGTAGAAAATACCCTTTGAAGCGGTATCTGTGTTAGAGCGCCACCTATTGTTTGTTTTTAAGCCCAAAACAATTCAGAATCCTCATCTACCTTTTATGGCTGATAAAATAAATTAATTTTAATCAGATAAGAGATGTTTTGCCGTCAATTTATCGATCACGATTCAACTTTTCAAGCTCTCAAGCATCAAGATCATCCGGCTATAAGCATATTTTGCATAGCCCGATATTGGATATGTTCTGAGACTAACAGAACATCATCCGGCTAACACACATTTTCCATTAGGGACTTGGTAGCTCGCGATATAAGTTGCAGACGTACTTTGAATATTTGATTTCGCAATCCACGTTCGAAGGCCTCTATATTTCACGAAATTACGCCGCAGATCATCAATCAGGGGGCAGAGATTCCCGATATCAATAAACGGCAGTAACTTTCGAACTCTCGATTCCTTTCTCAGATCGAGAACGGGAAAAACGTATTATAAAAAATTACTGGCAGTCCATCATATTGTGCAGAAAGCTATATTGAATATAATCAATAATTGTTATCATTACGCGTACGCGAGATATTTAGATAAAATTAAAACGTTAAACATTTTAATTTTAAAAAAATGTCTGTTTATCTGAAAAGAAAGTTTATAATTTTTAGAGTAAATTTAGAAAAAAAGTGCTTATGATTTAAAATTTCTCATATCCTATAAATTCTAGCCTCCTTACTCCGTTAATTTTAATAGTAGAAAAAACTAATTTTTATGTAAACTTTTATACTCTGCAGCTTTTATAAGAATTTTTTTTATTTAGGACTTACCCCTTTTAAGTTATCTTGAAATAACACTTTATTTAATATTTTTTTCACCCCTGCTTGGGAGTTGAAAAAATAATTACTTATTTATTGTTACTACATTACCTCAAACTCACTTATACAAAAAATTCAGGCAAGTTGACCAAAATTGCGATTTAAAAGCCCATTTAATTGGACTACCAGAGAGCCTCACCTTTAATTTTACTTTAATTACGCAAATAACACCGTATTTTAGTTCTATTGAATTTTCCTTAATTTATCAGCTGTATTTTATATTTCACGATTTTAACAAGATTTCTGACGAAATAGAACAAGGAATCTAACGGCCTAATCAACAGATATTTGATAACGCTGTTAGGAATTATTTTTGGCAACGCTGGCGCTGTGAGGAATTATTTACTTCATGAGCAGAATTGATGCCGAAATATGATAATAGTTGACGATGAAAAGTTGCATTTGAAATTAATTTTAATTGAAAAAAAACCATACCTGCACCAGGGATCGAACCCAGAACCTCTGTGTTAGTAGGCCAATGCGCAAACCACTAAGCCAACGGGGCCTCCGTTATATTGTTTCCATGATATGGCTTATATACATAATATTTTAAGATATCTAGTTACTTTTTTTAACAATGAACGTAATATTAGTAGTTGACAATTAAAGTTTATTTGGTTGTGAAATACAAGTTTTAATTTTATGATAAATACTTAATTGTTTAATGTTTTTAAATTGGTTGTAGTAAAATTTAATAATATTGTGTTATTGATTACAATTTATACCTATCTCCGTGATGCCCTTGATGCGACTAGAAAATCAACACTCAACGTTTTGCGCAAACATTTCCAAGAATAAATTTTACCAAGTCTGTGTGTTTTTTACTTAAAACTGCTTTCAAAAAAATGCTGCGTAAGAGTAATTTTTTACATCTGTGGCTTTTGAGAAAAAAAAACAATCAGTATTTGTTGAACTTCCAAAATAATAATTAATTTACTGGGGGAACAGGTCACAATTAAATAATTTGTCGTAAAACATTTTTTTTTATAAAAAATTTTTATTACGATCGTTTCGGGATTATTTTTTCCATCTTCATATAAAACAATAATAACCATGGGTTATAATATTTTTTCTTTATGTAAAAATTAAAACAATTGGCCATCAAATATTGTTTAACATCTTTTCCTATTAACCATATAATGTAAAACAATAAAATAACTACATTTTCTTATTTCCTCTTATAGACAAGGGCGGATCTGTCGAAATATACCTATGCATTTTGGAATATTGAAGAGGAAATGTCGATCACGGACAATTTTAAATTTTCAGACAGATATGTCAACTTAACGTCACATTAGTTTTTCAGTAATAGTGGTTCAAGGAACAACCAATCGCGGTGTTGTGGATTTACACGTCGTTTCGATAGAAATTAATTAGCCCAGTTACTGTAACTGAAAATATAGTAATACCTCCGAATTTTTTATAACTGCATCGATTTTTCTCAAAATTTAGAATTAGGCTCATCTTACCCACCCACTTCAAAACTTATATATGCGCTAGGTGTGCTTTTTGTTCTTAAGGAGTGAAAACCACCCCTTATTGGAAAAAAAA